GAGGGTTAGCCATGCTAATCGTGCTATTAGCATGACCAGATGCCAAGTCACTAATTGCTTGAGGGGCTAGTGGAGTAAACAAGAATAAATCAACTCCTCTTCTATCAGCGTCATTTCTCGAAATATCACTTTGATCCTTGGATGCCATTGTGTTGGGGACTGAGAAGCTAGCAGGAATCATGGGACTAATTGTATGCTGAGAGGGTGATTCTGGCAGCATATGAGATATAGGCGAATCAGGAGAGCCCAAGGCAACTGCAAAAGAGTCAGCTGAGAGAACAGTAGAAGAAAGATCAAGGCCAGGTATATCTTGGCCTGACGTTGTCTTCGGCGTCGTACCTGTGGTATATTTGGCATTGAAATCATCCCCACCACTACCTAATGTGATGGAGGATAACGGTTGATGTGATTGATGGTGTGAAAGATGTCGCATATCAGATGCAGCATGAAAAGGCTGCTGGTGAGTACGAATATAAGAACGATCTTGACTATGGCTATCAGATGAATGGGTTGATACAACAGCCTGCAAAGTGACGCCAGGATGAGGCAGGTAATGTGGGTGATGTTGATGTTGTCGATGCTGAACCGACAGAATTTGGCTGTCTGAGACACTATGCTGGTGCACGCCTATATACCACGAAGACATGGCAATGGTATGAAAAAATAGAGAGTATAAGTTATTAGATTGTCTGATTTGCTAAGTGCTTAATAGTGGGACAATGAAAACTCCAAAATAACACATGCAGTAAAGGAGGAAAAATGAGAAGAGATTTCAACACATATATCAGCATCAGATGGCGCACAAGCTAGAAATATAAGATAGCAATAAATAATATAATTACTTGGATGTGCTTATCTAGCTGAAGAAACGTGAAGAGCAAGGTACCTGGTAAGCGTCGAATAAATCGCTAAGGAAAAATAGAACAGTTCTGACCCACCTTAGTAGACTACCTATATAGAAGTGATTTGACCTAGCTTTCGAAACTTGGTTGTGATGTTAGGGCGACTAAGAGACTTGTCTGATTTTGGGTTGTAGATATCTGCTAAGAACAAAAAGGATCATTGACACGCCGGCAAAAGGTGTGGAAACGTAACGAATCCACGATCCGATAGAAGGAATTATCATAACTACTGTGACAAAAATTCCAACAAGGTTTCTTTAGCTATATCACCCTGACAACACGAACAGGTTGCGAAAACCAAGTTAAACCACTTCTATGCAGCGGAAGGAGAATATGACCAAAATAGAAGTCTTCATATCTACGGTTGCATGAATAGGATATGAAATGTGCAGTCAATCTCGAATAAATCTGTATGGCAGCATCTTGGTAGACTTGTCTCTATCTGGAATTCAAGAAAAGTCTTGCAATGAGGCTTATTTTTTGCATATGAAGGGAAGCTGGGTTTCGAAGAATTCCTTAATAGAATAATACTGGCGTACCTTTCATTTCCTTTGAGAAGGCAGGTCGAAGGAATTCGTAGATTAGCCTCATTGGATAATGCAGGGTTGCCTTGGACTTTTGTCTGTTGAATTGTGCGAAGAAAACCTCAGCTCACTTCCTTACGAAACCGATTACTCAGTATTGGACTTTCGTCTATCAGAGCAAAAAGCCATTATACACGAAAAAATCACCAACAAACACTAAAGCGAGAAAGATGGGCAGCTGATATCCTACTAACTTCTTATACCTAACTTTGCAATCATAATGAGGCATTCCATGATTTGGATGGCTGACGTATGCTTGTCCTACATGCATGTAAGTGGGTTAAAGTGATGCAAGCAGGGGAGTGGATCTGATCACAACTTTTGTCAATGAAAATAAACTAGAGTATGATCCAGTAGTCCTGGGTTTTTTTACATCTTCGTGGATGCGTGTGTATAAAACAACCCCGAGTATATTGACAATTTTAGGTTCAAAAACAGGCTCCATGTTAGTCTAGTCTTCCCTTCTTACTCAGTGGCTTCTCCAGTTACTCTTCCTTCGCTCTCTCTCTCTCTCTATCTCTCTGATTCTATTTAGAACCAAGAGATAGTTTTTACTTTGTTTCCTACAATCGCTCCTCTTATTCAAGATATTCTTTGTTACGTTAATTTCAATTGACTATATGATCTTACATTTAGCTGTGAAGTCCCCATATCCAGCAAAACATTGGGATTTAGACCACTCTATCTAGTTTCCTATATTGACCACATGTTCAGCCACTTCCGATTTGTGAATACATAAAGCTATGCAGGCGGTTCTGTGTTCTGATAGCCTTTTATGTATGGGTCGACAAGTATCCTCCACCTAAACACTACCACGAGCACAAAACCTTATAACTACTTGATCTGTAGAGAGCTTCGGAAGATTTCCTAATAGAAGGCATGATCGAGGAAAGCGTAATTGTTTCTTTATACCTTGTCTTGTCTTGTCTTGTTTCCTCAATAAGTCGACTATCTTTCTTGAAAGCTTGCAGGATGGTAGCACTTGGCCGAAGAGCCGTCTAATTTCTTGTTTTAGCCAAAATAATGGTTTTCCTTAACCTTATTTCTAAATATTTTTCCTTATTATCATTGATATCATTACGCCTACCTTAGCACCATAAGTGTGGTTAGAGAAGAAGTTAGGAAACCAGCATTTTTAGGTTTCGTACATACTTCTCTAAACAATTTTCTCTTTTCTTTACTAATTAAGACATCTAAAAAGGGAAACTTATTATCTTTTTCTAATTCCATAGTGAATTTAGTTTATTTATCTACTATATTGATTAAACCAAGGAAGTCATCCAAACACTCTTTGTCATGCTGCCAGATAGCAAAGTAATCACCCATATATCTAACCAATAGTTTCGGAACTAGGAATGATTCTTGAAAAAGCCGGAATTTAAATTAAGCAATGTTGTTATTAGCTAAAACTAGAGACAAACACGTTCCCATAGCTAACCCTCCCGTTTGCTCGTAACAGTTACCATTAAAGATAAAATGTATACTAAACATTAATGAATTCGTAAATCATATGATTGACTCCTTGCTAATCTTATTTCCAGATATTATCTTCGGGTGTGCCCACATCCGCTGCTCTGCCTGCATCACTTTGGCATGTAAGATAAGCATAAGTCAACCACCAAATCATGGAATGCCTCATTAAGATTGCGAAGTGAAGTATAAGAAGTATAATCTCAGCTGGTCACAATAATCGGCTTAATGTTTTTCGGTGACTTTTTTCGAAAATAATGGTTTTTGGTTGTGACGATGTCCATAAGATAACAGACAAAAGCCCAGCACGGAGTCATCGGGTTTGTTAGGTGGTGAGCTGAGGTTTCCTTCACAAAATTCACAAATTAAAGTCCAAGACGACCCTTCTGCGGTATTCGGTAGGGCCGATCTACGAATCCCCTCGATCGGCCTTCTCAAACGAAATGAAAGGTACGTCAGTATCAATTTATTTTTTGCATTTTCTAAACATCGTAGCCAGCTCATGATAATACCTTAACAAAAATCTTTAATTTTCGTATTTGAGTAGAGTTTCGAGACTACCAGTAAATCAGTAATATGCGAGGTAGTCACCCAATTTCGTTGAAGGTGATGAAGGACTGGTAGAAGAATTTTCCCATAATGATATGAGTAGAGCTGACGTTTACATTGCCCTGTTTTCCCAAAAGGTTGTTCTCATCCAGTCGAGTAGTTAACGTATCAAGCTCCCATTCTGCACTGTCACAATTTGATTCCCGCTGGGGATGTTGATAATATCGATGTGAGGTCGAAACTGCAGTCCACTCTGGATGAGAACGACTTTTGGGAAGGCAAGGCAATGTAAAATTAAATGGATTGTCAGCTCTACTCATATCATTTTGGGAAAATTATATTACTAGCCCTTCATCACCTTCAACAAAATAGCGTGAATACCTCTCATACATTAAAAACGCCAAATAGGCATTATAAAATTAATCAATTAAATAGATGAGTTTGTGAATATAAGGCTTAATGTACCACCTGCCGACTGAGCAGGATTGCGATTCGTGGTTCCTGATCGCCGCAGAAAGGCTTGCCGTTGGCCCGAAGTCATCAACGATTGTTGTGTCTGAGTCTGTCTCTGATTTAACAGCTGTTGTTGGGCTAGACGAGTGTGCCAGAGAGAGGTAACCAAAGCTGTGGTGTCGGATAATGAAGGTGACGAAGCTGCTAAGCGTTGGAGATATAATAGGGGCCAAAATGAAAAGTAATAAATAGGAGACAAAATGAGTATGGGATTAAAATAAGAGGAAGGGAAATAGAAATATGAAGATTATTAAACCAGCAAGCAAGAAAGCAATAGATAAGTGACAGAGATGGTGTGCCTCTGTTATAGTCGCAGACTCATATCGCTGTATAGAAATAGCTTGATCTCGTGTCCACAATTTGGTCGTCGTGCCAGAAAGATCTCGACGAACACAGCTTGTCGGGAGTCATAATATTAGTCATGATAATGTCCAACGTCGAAACGTGGACTTTGAATATCTTCAAGTGTTTTCCCTATATCAAAGTCGTCATTCAAGTAAGCATAACGAGTCTGTGTAACATGCTTCAATCTGACATAGGCAAGGTCAACGTACTGCTGAACGATTGTACTGTCCCCTGTCCTAGCTTATCCATACAAAGTCCTCGAATCTTGATCTTTCTATTTAATAAATTATAAGCTGTTCATTACAAATTATTGGTCTCAATTCCATTTCGAATGAAAATGTGTGATGAAGAGATTCCGGAGACAGTCCCACCACAATATGGCAGCGGAATCCTCTTTGCCGACTTTAGTTAGGATTTACGAGAACATTCTGGTGTACGCTGTCCCCGAAGCAGCTTCCTTAAATTTCAGTGAAAAAAATGCTAAGCTTTCGTCTCAGATACGAAAGAAAGAGTTTTTCGAAGAAACACATCTCTCATTTCGTTGGAAGAGGCGGTACAATGGTTTCACCGGAAACAGAATGAGAATGACATTGGGGTTGTAACTGCAGGATTGTGCTCGGCTCACCATCTTGCGGCCCTGATGAATCAATGCCAGAAAGCAGCATTTACGAAAAATTTATCAAATCAGACAAGTTAACCATATTCTATTTTCAAAATTATATTCATCGCTCAGCATTAGTCCTAAATTTTGTAATAGTTATAGACTAAATTTGCAACATATAACTATGAAAGAACTTGTAAAATTATCTCATTATTTGGTTAGATAAAGGCTTCAACTAAAGTTTCGATAAATGTATTTGGGCTCATGTGATCGCTCCTATTCTTGAGAGGCCTGTCGCTGACACAAAACCGCTTCCAAAGAAGTAAGGCGAAAACATGGCCAATATAGGACAGGAAATGGAATGGCGCAAAACAAAGCAAACTGCAGATAACTAAGACTTCACAAATGTATGAAATTGAGTGCGAATTATTTGCCTGTCCAATAGGCTTGGGAGAGTGGGGAGGAATATCCGCTGAGCAAGAGGATAAAATAGCTTCAAGCCTGAAGATGAACTAAATAAGACTTGAACATTGCAGTGCAGCATGTGAGTTTGACACTTCAACCACTCAGCCAGATTGCACGAGTGACCATGAGTCACAGAGCAGATGTCTAATCCGAAG